TATCGGCACTCCTAGAAACTTGACCTCCACCCTTTCAACCTCAGCTCCATTAATGTAGATGGGTATGTGTTCTCCTCCTTTCTTTCTGAAGTCAATGATCAGTTCTTCAGCTTTTCCGACGTTGAGATAGAGGTTTTTCTCATTGCACCACATCACCAAGCCCCCTCTCTCCTTTCTTTATTCTGACTCGTCATTGTTAGGTATCCATCCTACCACTGCGGTGTCGTCAGCAAACTTGTAGATGGCGTTCATTCAGAATTTGGCAACACAGTTGCGGGTGTACAGGGAGTACAGTAGGGGAATGAGGATGCATCCTTGGGGGGGCTCCAGGGTTGAGTGTTATCATGGAGGAGGTGCAGTTGTCTATCTTCACTGATTGTGGTCTGTAGGTCAGAAAGCTAAGGATCCAGTTGCAGAGGGGGAGCCAAGACCAAGGTTTTGGAGTTTTGAGATCAGTCTGGAGGGGATAATGGTGTTGAAGGTGGAGCTGTAATCAATGAGCAGGAGTCTGACATAGGTGTCCTTGTTGTTCAGGTGCACCAGGGATGAATGCAGGGCTAGGGAAATGGCATCCGCGATGGACATAGCACATCGGTAGGCAACCTAACCCTCTTTGAGGTTTGAGGAAATTGTCACAGTATTATTAAATTGTCATCCTTGTTTCTAAATTTTACCTTAATTAGTTACTGTATTGCAGATCTAAAAGCTCCTACATGAACTTCCTTGTTGGTCTGTTCCATATAGGAATTGCTAAATGCTGCATAGAGCCATACGGACCGGACAGTCATAATTTTGACTCTAAGTCGGTGCTGAATAACTACTGGAAACAGTTTGCCTCTGTCCACCTGAACAATGATTTCATTATTTGAAGCACATCACTCTGTAACCTGCACTTTTCTAGCATGTTTATTCAGAATATTTGTTGTTTTAGACTGTTATGGATTGTCTCAGCAGCTGCGATGGTATTTGTCACAGTTGTCAAAATGTGAGCAGAGTTTTAAGAGCGTTTGTTAGGCATGGACTGGCTTGAAGTTTTCGTCAGTCAGATAGAAGCTCTTAATGTAATATATTTGTTCTTCAGCTTTGTAATTACAGAGCACCTATCAGGCAATGAAAATCCTCAAAGAAATGGAATGATCAGTCAACAACTGGCCTTGCATCTCTGCATTTGAATCAAGATCAAATAACAAAAAAGGTCACCTTGTTTCATTTTTTTCAGGAAATGAACAAGCATTCCATGCTGAATGAATTGTGTATGTAGAAGTACAGTGATTTATTATTGTTTTCCCCAAACTCTGTAAAGTTGATGAGATGGCAACAAATCAGTAATGTTGCTGGCTTAGTCATCCAGCAGCCCAGACTAATGCACTTGGGAACATAGGTCCAAATCCCACCACAGCAGCTGGTGGAATTTAAATTCAATAAATAAAACCTGGAATTAAAAGCCAGCCTGAGTCATGGTAGCCATAACTATTGTTGAACTATCCTATTATTATTACTATAATATAATGTATGCTATAACATAACGCTGTTGTTCTTACTGTTAGTTAACCATCTGCCAGTCTTGCCTGGTCTGGCCTACATGTGACTGCAGACCTATAGCAATGTTATTCACTCTTAACCGACCTCTGAAATAGCCCTAGAAAGCCACTCAGATCAAGGGGCAATTAGGGATGGGCAACAAGAGCTGGCATTTACAGCAAAACCTACATTCTATGAAATAATTTTTTTAAAAATTATCAGAGGTATGTTTGTGGCATGCTGATGTCACTGGACTGGTTAATCCAGAGGACCAGACTAATGCTTTGGGTATACTTGTTCAAATCCCTCCATGGCAGCTAGTGGGATTTTTCAATTAATAAAATCTGGAATTGAAACCTAAGGGGGACAATTAAATTATCATGAATTGTCATAAAAAGCCATCTGGTTCATCAGTGCCCAACGGGGAAAGGAGATATGTCATCTTTATTAATCTTGCCTACGTACGCCTCCAAAACCACAACACTGCAGTAGATTCATAACTGCCTCTTAAGTAGCCTAGCAAGCCATTGAATGCAGGGGCACGGATCGGCCTCAAATACCACCCACATACCATAAAAGGATAAAGAAGATAGCAATGAGATGAACGACCTGTTAATTTATTACTTACTGGAGTCACCTCAGGGAAGACTAATGCCCAAGTTTCAGGGCAAATTCCCTGCTAAAATGCAGAATGTTATGAGGTCTTAAACATCCACCTGAGCTGCCAGCTGTCTTCAATTTAACATCTCATGGAAACGTATGTAGCTCTAACAGTTTAACTCTCCCAAGCACTTCACCAAGCTGTGAGCCAAATCTGAGATAGAACCTTAGCCTGCAGTCATCTGACTGTAGTAATACAAACTGCAGTATCTATTGCAAGACTACTGCAGATCAACACATTAACGGCTTTAAGATTCCGACCGTAAATTTGTTTTAGATGCCTAGATCTCATTCTTCAAACACAAGAAAACAAAACTCAAATTGAAAATTAAGGTGGTGTTGTAATGAAACCTTTTCCCTGCCCTGAAAGATATTTGATACTAATGCTGTTGGAAAGGAGTTCTGTTCCACAGGATTAAAACCCCTGTTGATGAATGCAACACTTTTTTTTAAAAGAAGAATGAGGTTACAGTTAAATAGGAAAAAAACAAAGAACCGTGGATGCTGGAGATCTGAAGCAAATAAAATCAGAAATTGCTGATTTCAGCAGACTCAGCACGTTTGCCAGCATCTGTGGAGAAAAAATAGCTAACGTCTCAAGTCCAGTGACCTTTCTTCAGGGTGTTCAGACCAGATATTATCTGCTTAACCATCTACTGACACAACTCGCTGGGGTAGTGCATAAGAGATCAAGCCCCACTGTTTGTGGAATTGTCACAGATGTGAAAAGATGTGGTCACACTATACAAAGTCCCCATTTTCCCTGATTGATGAACTCGTACTGAAAAGAGACTCACCTTGTTTTTTCTTTTCTGAAGAAGGGTCTAGGCCCAAAACGTCAGCCTTCCTGCTCCTCTGATGCTGCTTGGCCTGCTGTGTTCATCCAGCTCTACACCTTGTATATCTCAGATTCTCCAGCATCTGCAGTTCCTACTATCTCTCCCTCACCTAGTTTCTCGTTTTAGCAAGAAAATATCTTTGTATTAAACCACCCGAGCAAGGTGGCTCCGTGGTTAGCACTGCTGCCTTACATCGTTAGGGACCCATGTTCGATTCAGTTGGGTGACTGTGACTGTCTGTTTTAGTTTGCATGTTCTCCCTGTGTCTGCATGGGTTTCTACAGAGTGCTCTGATTTCCTCCTACAGTCCAAAGATGTGCAGGTAAGGTAGATTGGCCATGCTAAATTGTCTGTAGTGTCCAGGGATTTGCAAGCTAGGTGGAGTAGTCATGGGTTACAGGGATAGGGTAAGGGTGAGTCTGGGTGGGATGCTCTTCAGAGGGGCGGTGCAGGCTCAATGGGCCCACTGCCCTGTTTCCGCAATGTAGGGATTCTGTGATTCAATGAACAAATCTTTAACCAATGGTAGTTAGGAATATGAATTGCTAACTCTACAACTTAAATTTCTTAAAGCCCTCTCTTCACAAAGACAGACAAGACATGGATATTAAGGGTGGAATAAGAAAAAGATTAGGAAAACCGTTCAATAGCAACAGTCTGGAGCACAGGAGTTGAGCTGTTTCTTCAAATTTGTTTTTGTTTTTTGCTGTTGGCAGGTTTGCTTCCACACCAATGCTCTCTTTCATTCACTGGTTGCGAAGTTGCTGTTTCACTGTCTTTTGAAGGTGTTTTATTCTTCTTTTAGTTGGAGATTAGCAGAGAAAGATGAATGGAAGATAGCTAGCTGTTACTGGTAGTAGACTTTCTGATACTTCCACATGATAAAGAGGAAATATTTTTAAAAACCCCTCAGGCTAGGTACTTCCTTGCTGCACTAGCTCCACACAAGCCATGGTCACTTGGTCAAGAGTCAATCAAGATGTTATTGTTTAACGTTGTTTTCAAGTAACAACCCCCCTAGTTGAGGTATCTGTTTTTTGCTCTTGCTGTTCTCGGGAAAGCAACATTGTGTATAACTCAAAGTGTTCTGGTAAACATTTTTAAAACTGCAGCCACCAATTTGCACAGTCTCCTTGTTTTAAAGCAGTATAGTCCTAATATAAAGGAAATAAAAAGTACGTGATCCTTGTATGTCTTCACCTTTGGGAAAGCTGAAACTCAGTTTGAAAAAATCATTTCATCGCAAGGTATATTGCATTCAAACAATAAGAAAACAAGACTTCCATCCATTCATTCTTACTATTTACAATTTTAAAACTCCTTTTACAGTTCTTGCAGAATCTTATAAAATCTCTGAAATCCTTATTTCAACATTTTACATTCGGGAGAAGGCATCTGCGAACATATTATCTTCAAAAGGAATGCAACCCATCTTTACATTGATTGATTGTATCCATAGACTCGATAGGAATAGTCTTGCATTTTGAGTTTTAAATTTTTTCTTGAGTGCTAGCGATTATGGCATTAATAGATTGATGTTTCATTGTACCCATGTCAGACATAGACTTCAAACTGTTGAAGAGCCAGTAATAATGCCGAAGTTTTATTTTCCACAGTAGATAACTTCCTTCCTCTGATATTGGTTTAATTTCTTGGAACAGCACCCCATTGGCTTCTCGACTCATCATCTTGTGCCTCCCCACAAGTCTTGATTCTAAGCATGTATTGAATTTATGTTTCTACCTGAATTTGTTTCTCTGGGCTCAACAGATAAGAATGTTGTTTTAACAATACTGATTCTTCTGTGGGCACATTATGTTTAGCTAGCATAGTACACCCAGGTGTATCTTTGCAGATTTCCTTATACTTCCTAAGTAACCTTACTAGATCTTCCCATTTTCTTTCTTATAAGTTCGAGAATACAGTAACTAACCATTACAGTATTTCTGTATGAACTAGTCAAATTATAAGATGGTCAGTTCATGAACTATCTACCTTACTGTTACTGTCTCTGTCATCCTTTGCCATCATCTGCCAGTCTACCACCTGACACATTTGCTTCTCATATCCTCTTCTCTGCAATGGTGTCATTTCAATATGTTTATGTGACATAATAGTTTTCTTCCTACAACCAGGAATATGTATCAGATAATTCACTTAATTAATGCTCCTAACCACCCTGTAATGACTACAATTTTTTTCAGAGCTTATTTTGAAACATAGAAAATAGGAGAGTGGGCTATTCAGCCCATATAGTCAGCTCCACTATTCAACATGGTCATGTTCTCTATCTCCATGCAATACTTTCACTCTTTCCCCATACCTCTTGGCACATTTAGTTCTAGACCTACTTCTTTCTTAAATGTATTCAGTATTTGCCTCCACAGTCCTCCGTGGTACAGATTCCCAGAGGTTCACTACCCTATGAGTTAAGAAATTACTCCTTGGACCATAATGGCCCATTGCATGTCCTGAAACCGTTAAGGACTGTTCTGGACCCCACAGTGAGGGGAAATATCATTCCTCCATCCAGTCTATTCAGCCCTGTCAGAATTTTATATCTTTCAATGACATCCCCTCTCATTCAACATCAGCCTGGAGGTTCTGGGTTACTAGTGACTTTACCACTTAAATACCGGCTCCCTGAAGCGTAATTCAATCCAAGGAAGGAGGAAAATTTGCAGGAGGACCTCAATGTAAGTATTAACTGAGAGAAACTGCAAAGCATTACTATCTTAATAAATCATTTTATTCCTTTTATCATTAATGCAAAAATCCACAATAATGCTGTTAAATTTATAGAGATAATTTTGGGAAATGACATTTTGGTCTTTAGCAATGAACCTTACCTAAATTCACAAGTACTTTGGGCTTGTCATTTAGGGCTTGTGAGCAAATTGTGACAGTTGACAGCTGTTGTTACTGTAATAAGATTAAAGTAAAGAAATTAGTTGTACTGGCTTTAATCTACCATTTAACACTGGGAACCACCTGGGTCCTGCTTTATTCTGTTTGTACGGTATTTCTATGTTGGTTTTATGCACAGAATCCACCAAGGAGTAAGATGCCTGCTTGCCTTCATTAACTGAAGAAAACCTTGCTCCTTCAGATGCTGTATTTTGCTAATTGAATTTTTCCATGGTTCTTCCTTCTTGTTTTTTGTTTTATTTTCCTTGTTGAATGTTTTTGATCCTTTTCTTCGGTATTATTTCACAAGTACCCAAACAACCATGCTTTGTCTGAGCTCAGTAACAAATGTTGGCAGACCACTCTTTAATGTATTTTGTTCACAAGATGTAGGTGACACTTGCATTGCTGCATTGAATTTTCCGTCCCGTGTTGCCTTAAGGAGGTATTGCTGAACCTACAATTTGAACTACTGCATTTCTTTTATTTTTATTCATTCACGGGATGAGGGCATCGCTGGCTGGGCAACATTTATTGCCCATCCCTAATTGCCCAGAGGACAGTTAAGAATCAACCACTTTGCTGTGGATCTGCAGTCACATGTAGGCCAGACCAGGTAAGGATGGCAGTTTCCTTCCCTAAACGACATTAGTGAACCAGATGGGTTTTTCCAACAATCGGCAATCGATTCATGGTCATCATTAGACTCTTAATTCCAGATATTTATTGAAATCAAATTCCACCATCTGCCATGGCGGGATTTGAATCCTGGTGCCCGGAACATTATCTGGTTTCTGGATTAACAGTCCAGCGATAATACCACTAGGCCATCGCCTAGTGATTCTCTGATTGAAGGTACTTTCTGCCACTAGCACTTTGTCATTTCTGCCTTTTTTGCATCTAGCCCTGAGCACATACTTTTGCTAATGATGGCCTGTACATGACCATCTCCTGAGGTTAGTTAAGGGCAGAGCCAGGAATAGCATAATCCTAAAGATGCACCAATGACCAAGTTTGTAAAGGGACTCCAAAAGAAATTTGCACTTGTTCAACATCTTTAACATAGAATCTGTTTAAAGATGCTTTAAGTAAAGATGCTGCGGGACAGAGTTGGTATTAGTTGTCCTTGCAGAAACATGGTGCAGAAAGAGTCTGAAATAATCATAACTGAACGTAAGGTCCAAAAATTGAAAGACCAAAGTGGTAAAGTAGTGCTCAAAATCACTCCTGCCATGTTTAGGAAATAAAAAGTGTCCTTGCTGAAAAGAATTTTCTAGAATACTACTTTGTAATTGGTCTCTAAACACGTTGCCAAGTTTGACCGTATATATGACCAGGGATTAGTAAACAGAATCCTCCATCTGTTGCATGACGTAAGTTTGCATGCTGCCAGTTTGATGAAGACCTTATTCATTTAAAGAAAAACAAGTGTCATTAATTATTGTCATCATTCTTGAATTATGCAACCATTTAAAATCTAAAATAACTTGTACTGTTGTTCATGAGGAAGAAAGAGTGGATTAACTAGTTAGGCTTGAATACAAGTCTGTGTAGGCAAAATTGTAAAGTCAGTGGGTCATAGCAACTGTTACATATATCAAAGTTGGATTTAGTTGAGCTTTAATCTCTGGAAATGTTAATCATTATACTTGTATTGAGTCATTAACAATTTTATTCTTGCTATTACAAAGCATTTTCACAATGGAGATTCACTTCAATGTAGTCAGTGTGTCATGTATTAATATATCTAATTCCTTTATAACCATTGTGAAGCTGGATGTCATACTTGTTCTGCTGATCTATTTAATAACATTTTGCTGTTTAATACAAATCCAATGTTTAAATCTTGCAAAAAATTCAAGAACAATAAGAACACTTCATGTTCATCATGGAATACTTGCCTGGATTATTTGCATTTTTCTCCCTGATCAGATATAGCTTCAATGCAGCATCACCTTAGTACTGTAATGAAACACCCACAAGTATCCACTCATTCCATCACCGATGCTCACTAGCAGCAGTGTGTACTATCTACAAGATTCGCTGCAGAAATTCACTGAAGATCCTTGGACAGCTGCTTCCAAACAATGTGCTGATATTTGATCTTTTTGTTTCGGTATTAACATGGAAATGGTTTTGCAACAAGGTGTACCAAAGCACCCATTGCAAATCTCTTGAAGGATGTTGGCATTTGGCAATGAATTTGCCATCCAGAGTCACAAAATAGCTGGTGCAAATGGGAATGATTACTAGTGCTCCACTGTTCCTGTTTCTCCATCACCAACGCTCAGTAGCAACAGTGTGTACCATCTGCAAGATCCACTGCAAAAATTCACCAAAGATCCTCCGGCAACACCTTCCAAACCCAAGACCACTTCCATCAGAAGGATAAGGGTTGCAGATACACAGAAACACCACCAGCTGCAAGTTCCCCTCCAAGCTGCTCAACATCCTTACTTGCAGATAAATTGCTGTCCTTTCACTGACACTGGGTCAAAATCCTGGAATTCCCTCCCTATGAACAGAACTGAATGTGACCTGCAGCAGTTCAAGAAGGCAGCTCTCTACCACCTTCTCAAGGGCAGCTACAGATGGACAATAAATGCTGGCCAGCCAAAAATGCTCACATCCACGAGTAAATAAATAAAATAAAATCAGCCTGGTTTGTGCCTACGTTTTGAGTGGATTTGAGGCAAGAATACTACCACTGATTGAAGCATACGTTTTCTACATCTGTCGAAAGCATTAACTACCATTGGAGTGTTGATCATGAATACTCTGATATCTCATGACATGCCCATCCTTATAAGCCTAGACAATGACTGACAGGAATTCAATAAACCCATAAATGAAACCACAGCTCAGTCTGATCCTGACCTGTCATAAGTACTGTCCAGGAAAAGAAGAAAAGAGAATATACTGTCCAGTAGGACTCACTGGAGAGTAATCAATGGCAAAAACAACTTCCATTTTTGTTTTGCACTTTTAACATAGTGAAATTTTTGGTAACAAATACTTGCAGGTAAATTCAACTCTGAGCATGAAGAAGTATTAGAATAGTTAAGTAAGTTTTAAGATTATAGAACATCTTGATCTCTCCATCTCTTTTATTTGAGTTGCTATTTTCTGCTTCCAAGCCAGATTATGAATCCAATTGTAACCTGTTACCTGCTTCAGCTACTACCCTGAATAAGTCAGCTCCAGTGGTCAAACTTGCTCAACATGGCTCGATACTATCATGGGAAGTGGTTTTGCCCATCATAGAGGAAATTAAATTATATGTTTTGAGTGTTTTAGTTCAGGATGGGTACTGATATTTCAGAACTGACTTGAAGACTGTAATCATGATTTCAGGGGTAAGACCTGAGATTAATTACTACAGTGAATCTTCATTCAGTTTCTCAGTCCGTGGACTTCAGGACATAATCCAGGCTGATACTTCAGCTCTGCGCAGAGGGAGCACAAAGGGCAGTGTTGAAGGCTCTCAAGTTTCAGGTAAAATGTCAAAACGGAGTCCCATCTATCCTCTTGGGGATGTGTAAAAGACTCTATGGTACTATTTGATTCAGAGCAGAGGATTTCTTGGTTGCTGTGATAAAAATTCATCCCTCAACTAGAACCAGGCAGACATATTAGAAAATTCTTGTTGTTGTGAAACCTTACTGTTCACATATTGCTTCTGAATTTCCTTATACAGCAAACTTTGTTTTAACCAGAACCTTATCAACCGGCAAAAATTATATACCTCAAATACCGAGATCTACTGCAATGTCCAAGTATTCATGCTGTAAATAAAGTATAACAGTGATGTGTATATCAGAGATAGCAAAAACTTCCTGATGAAGGGTCTAGACCTGAAACATTGACTCTCCTGCTCCTCTGATACTGCCTGGCCTGCTGTGTTCCTCCAGCTCTATACTGTATTGAGTGATGTGTATACTTGCTCCATTACATTTCTAATACTAACTGTGTGCTTTTACGTTTATTTTAGGAGGCGTGTTTATGTTTTTGCGTAGATTTTTTGAGGGATGTTGATGTCTCGAAGCTTTGATTGGTCAGGGTTTACTGTGGTTAAGTGAATCTCTTGATTATGCAGAATATTTGATTAACCGGTTCAGTCCTGATCCACGGGTGCCAGTTTGTTAAAAAATGTTTGCTGTATTACAACAGTGACCATACTTAAAGTACCTCAATGGCTATAAATCTGTTTGGAACAACATATAGCTGTGAAATGTGCTGTAGAAATTCAGACTTTTACTTTTCCATCCCTTCTATTGCTGTTAGCTTTTTACTCCAGCATTGCTCTAACT